ACGTGAATGCTGACCTGGTACCTGAATGCTGACCTGATACCTGAATGCTGACCTGATACCTGAATGCTGACCTGGTACCTGAATGCTGACCTGATACCTGAATGCTGACCTGATACATGCTGACCTGATACCCGAATGCTGACCTGATACCTGAATGCTGACCTGGTACCTGAATGCTGACCTGATACCTGAATGCTGACCTGGTACCTGAATGCTGACCTGATACCTGAATGCTGACCTGATACCTGAATGCTGGCCTGATGCCTGAATGCTGACCTGATACCTGAATGCTGACCTGATACCTGAATGCTGACCTGGTACCTGGATGCTGACCTGATACCTGAATGCTGACCTGGTACCTGAATGCTGACCTGGTACCTGAATGCAGACCTGATACCTGAATGCTGACCTGATACCTGAATGCTGACCTGATACCTGAATGCTGACCTGATACCTGAATGTTGACCTGGTACCTGAATGCTGACCTGATACCTGAATGCTGACCTGATACCTGAATGCTGACCTGGTACCTGAATGCTGACCTGATACCTGAATGCTGACCTGATACCTGAATGCTGACCTGATACCTGAATGCTGACCTGGTACCTGAATGCTGACCTGATACGTGAATGCTGACCTGGTACCTGAATGCTGACCTGATACCTGAATGCTGACCTGGTACCTGAATGCTGACCTGATACCTGAATGCTGACCTGATACCTGAATGCTGACCTGATACCTGAATGCTGACCTGATACCCGAATGCTGACCTGATACCTGAATGCTGACCTGATACCTGAATGCTGACCTGATACCTGAATGCTGACCTGGTACCTGAATGCTGACCTGATACCTGAATGCTGACCTGATACCTGAATGCTGGCCTGATGCCTGAATGCTGACCTGATACCTGAATGCTGACCTGATACCTGAATGCTGACCTGGTACCTGGATGCTGACCTGATACCTGAATGCTGACCTGGTACCTGAATGCTGACCTGGTACCTGAATGCAGACCTGATACCTGAATGCTGACCTGATACCTGAATGCTGACCTGATACCTGAATGCTGACCTGATACCTGAATGTTGACCTGGTACCTGAATGCTGACCTGATACCTGAATGCTGACCTGATACCTGAATGCTGACCTGGTACCTGAATGCTGACCTGATACCTGAATGCTGACCTGATACCTGAATGCTGACCTGGTCCCTGAATGCTGACCTGATGCCTGAATGCTGACCTGATACCTGAATGCTGACCTGGTACCTGAATGCTGACCTGATACCTGAATGCTGACCTGGTACCTGAATGCTGACCTGATACCTGAATGCTGACCTGATACCTGAATGCTGACCTGATACCTGAATGCTGACCTGGTACCTGAATGCTGACTTGATACCTGAATGCTGACCTGATACCTGAATGCTGACCTGGTACCTGAATGCTGACCTGATGCCTGAATGCTGACCTGATACCTGAATGCTGACCTGATACCTGAATGCTGACCTGATACCTGAATGCTGACCTGAACATCTCCAGATTTGATGTGCAGAAACTGGTTCGGCACGGTACAAAACAGAGCAGGGGGATTACGAATGGTACAAGGATTAGTCCCAGCTCAAAATGCACTCACCATCTCCCGTTTCTGTTCCCCATCTTCATGTTTCAAGCTCGTGTCAGAAATAGCCACATGGCTCACATGCAATCTGACTTTGTGGTCTTGTCGAATTTCAGCGAAGCTCACCTCGTTGCGGGACAGCAGAAATCACAGAAAGCGGGTGAGTGTGAGACGCAGTCAGAAGTCGCATGCAGTGAAAGGCTGCCCCCCCACCCTCCACTGCTTTGCCTCACTGACGGAGGGGGAGCGGGAGGGAGAGGATGGCGGGGAGGGAGGGGGGGCATGGGGAGCGGGAAGGAAGGCGGAGAGGAAGGGGCAAGGGGCAGGGAGAGGGTGAGTGGTGAGGCAAAGGGTATGGCATGTGGAGGGATAATCAAGTCATGGTTTTGAAGCCCTGAGCTGCAATCACAGTCACAGTGCTTTCTGGAGAAGCTTGTATTGAAAGCCCACAGCAACATGCATGACAAAAATTTATTGGCAGGCATGCTTTCACTATGTGGCACATGTATTTTACAGGGAATGTAGGACACATAGTGTGGCGGAGATCATGTGAAGCAGCACATTCATTACAAGCACCACAATCATGCCACACAGCACATTTATGGCAGGTAAGGTAAGGGATGGGGGCGTGAAGTAATGTGAGTCATGATTCTCAAGGTATGAGCTGCAATTACGGACAGAGTGCTTACTGGTGATGCTTGAAAGCCCACAGAAAGGCATACAGAGTCACAAGCATAACTACACAGTGTGCCACATGCATTTCAAAGGGGAAGAAGAAGGAAGTGCCTTGTTGGGGAGGCGATTGAACATTATGTCAAAGAGATCATTCCAACCGACACATTCATGCCACCTGACACAATCATGCCAGCAGCACATTCATGCATGCAAGTGCCTCTACTGGCACGAACGGCATACAGACAATGTGAGACAACAAACAACATAATCAACAGCCCATGCAACAAACCAAACTCCTTAGCTCTTGCAACTTGTGATATATACACATAAATACTCATGGCAGCATTTACATTACATGGACCTACACGTAACAAACTTAGCCCTACCAGCAGCAAATTAAACCTAGAAGTCAACTATATAATACAGGGTAACACTTTCTAATGTGCCAGCGAGCATCAAGTCAAGTCTGTCACCTCCACCTGGGTTGCTGGGACTGCTGTTTCTGCGAGGCTGTTGCAGTCTGGACTCGCAACTTACTGTTGCTCCCTGCTGCTGCCTGCACTCCCTTCTTCCCCTCCCCCCTCACAGCCGAAACTGGGGCTTTCCTCAATCTGCTCGTAGCAGCAGCAGCCCCGCCAGAGCCAGCAGGAGCAGCGCGTCTCATTTTTGGTTCTGAGAGCTTGCTTGCTGACTGCTTAGCTCTCACTTCCACCACCTTACCCATACATCCGGATCTCTTCTCAGCAACAGCACCAACCTTGGTAGCTTCTCCCTTCCCGTTCCCACTCCTTGCTGTGCCACAGGCTGCTGCCTTCACAGGCGGCTTCACTGCCTGCTGTGTGGCTGATTTCGCTGCTGCTTTCACCGCTGCTCGTCCTGCTGGCGAAGCTGCTGCGCGTGCTGATGGCTTGCGCGCAGCAGGCTTTACCACAGCCGTTATTTTAGCTGCTGAAGGGGCTGCTGCATTCGCCACGGACCGAGCTGCTGATGGTGCTGATTTAGCTGCTGATGGTGCTGCTGCCTTCGCCACTGACCGAGCTGGTTTCGCTGCTGTTGGCGCTGATGGCTTGCAAACCTCTTTTTTAAGTGAAGCAGCAACAGGCATAGCAGCAGAGGCAGCAGAAACGGCGCCAGAAATGGCGTCAGCAACGGCATCCGCAGCAGCAGCAGCCACCACAGGCACAGCAGCAGCAACAGCGGCACCAAGAGCGTCAGCAGCAGCACTTGCAGCAGCAGCCAGCGTGCTCACAGCAGAGGCAACAGCGGTAGCGAAGGCGGGCCTCAAAGGCGAGAAGCCCAGCCGTGCTCCAGAGCGGTTTTCCCGGCGCTTCTTGTTCTCCTCAACAACAAACCGACCCATCTTGATAGCCACCTCCACGGAGGTCATTGCTTTGCATTCCACAGGTCTCCGGATTAGCTGAGTTCGCAAATACGCCTCGTCCGCTTCCGTCCATTCAGTGACAAAATCGGCCGTGTTAAACGAATCATACTGCGCCACCCACTTGGCAATGGTCCACCCATCGTGCGGTTTCAATAATCCGCTTCTCAAATATTTCTCATCCTCATCCGTCCACTCGGGTGTGACGAAATCAGCAAAGTTCACAGAGTTACTTGCCAAGAGCAGCAGTTCGTCGCTCACAGTTAGTGTGGCACGACGAATTGTGACAGGCGCTTTCAGATAAGCCTCGTCCTCAGTAGTCCACTCAGTAACAAACTCAGCGGAGGAGCTTACTGTAAATCTGGCTAAGAGCAGAAGCTCCTCGCTCACGCTGAGTTCAGCTGGTGCTGCTCTCAGCTGAGCTTCATCAGCCTCCGTCCATTCGTAGAGGCAGTCAAACGGGAGGGAGTTGAGTGCAGGGCAGTTGAGCCAGCTCGGTACCTCCCACAGGTACCTCGCTGCGTTTCCGAATGCCGTGGCAGCAGCAAGGGCAACGGCAAGAGCCGTTTCAGGGTTCATCGAGTCCATTCGAGCAGCGAGGGTTCTTAGACGCACGAGGGGAAAATCTCTGCGAGTGACTGAAAGAGCGTGTGAGGCAAACAAGTTGTGATTGAAGAGAAATGGTCGTCAAGTGACCACTTCTACTGACACACGGCAAAGGTTTCCCCCGTTAACGAAGGAGCCGTCGTTCGATCGCATGTTCGGCACTTCTGGGTGCAGCTTCGGCACCACACCCGTTTACTTCGCTTTGAGGCAAACGCGAGGCGGCCAGTGGGTGGTCCACATTGCTGCTCGCCCGACTGTACCGCCAGCTAAGACGAAAATCGGACGGTTGAAGTGTTTCCAGTGCTTCCGTAATCGTATCCGCGGCAAAGGTTTGCCCTCGATGTGATTATTTTGCAGCATGCTCACGTGGATGACAAAACAGCGAATAGATAAGCTCAAATCGGACGGCCTGAAACGCTTCGTGAATGTCGGAACCCCACCTACGGCTAGCTTTGGCACCGACATCCGCAGCGCGTGGACATTCGTGGTGGACCTAGCCCAGCATGACGTGTTTCATGCGTGGATCTAGCGTGGCGTGGTGAGGAGGGGTCATACCTGGTGGTGGGATCATGATTGGGAGCGCATTGTCAGAAGTCGATCTAAGCTCCGAGGCTGCGGTGAACTCGTAAACGGGCAAGACAGGGGCGGCTGAAGAGGGACCACATTATCTCGCGCCAAATCCGGCTGGCTATCTGTGGTAACCTCGATACTAGTATCCATGGGTGGACTTTCTGTGAGATAGCGGGCGGTTCTCACAGCAGCGAAAAGAAATCTGCTTGTTGAGAGAGTTGGGGGAAGGAGACAAATGGCGAGTTGGGTGGGATGCTTTGGTGCAACAACACCAAACCCTAGGTCTCGTACTCAATAATGCTCAATGAACATTTCGTTTTAAAACAGAAGGTATTTTTACCTCATATACAAGTTAAGTGCAAATTTGGGGTATTATTAGACTGGAAGATAAATAAGCATGTGCACTAATCCATAGCATACCGTACCTAATGTGATTATGAACGACAGGCAGGAATCACTAGGTAAAACAACAAAAATAATGCGACTTTGTACATTTCTGTATAAGAAGCAGCTGGATGGTTTTGCCTATCCTCTGTACACTGTATAATTGGTGCATGCTAAACACATACGTAGGAGAGTATCCCAATGGCATTTACATATCAAATCAACGTGACAAGTGTCAAGCATGGGTAACATGGTACCAACACATGGCCCAGCAGATTGCATTCCACAACAAATTGATTCCAAGAAAGACAATAATGGCAGTTGCCTTTACCTGAACCAACTCAGGAATGGTACCCTCCCTCGCAGCAACTTTCTCCAACCTGGCGACTAGCCTCATCCCATCCCACCATCTCTGCTCCTCATCCCATCCCACCATCTCTGCTCCTCATCCCATCCCACCATCTCTGCTCCTCATCCCATCCCACCATCTCTGCTCCTCATCCCATCCCACCATCTCTGCTCCTCATCCCATCCCACCATCTCTGCTCCTCATCCCATCCCACCATCTCTGCTCCTCATCCCATCCCACCATCTCTGCTCCTCATCCCATCCCACCATCTCTGCTCCTCATCCCATCCCACCATCTCTGCTCCTCATCCCATCCCACCATCTCTGCTCCTCATCCCATCCCACCATCTCTGCTCCTCATCCCATCCCACCATCTCTGCTCCTCATCCCATCCCACCATCTCTGCTCCTCATCCCATCCCACCATCTCTGCTCCTCATCCCATCCCACCATCTCTGCTCCTCATCCCATCCCACCATCTCTGCTCCTCATCCCATCCCACCATCTCTGCTCCTCATCCCATCCCACCATCTTTGCTCCTCATCCCAACCCACCATCTCTGCTCCTCATCCCATCCCACCATCTCTGCTCCTCATCCCATCCCACCAACTCTGCTCCTCATCCCATCCCACCATCTCTGCTCCTCATCCCATCCCACCATCTCTGCTCCTCATCCCATCCCACCATCTCTGCTCCTCATCCCATCCCACCATCTCTGCTCCTCATCCCATCCCACCATCTCTGCTCCTCGTCCCATCCCACCATCTCTGCTCCTCATCCCAGCCCACCATCTCTGCTCCTCATCCCATCCCACCATCTCTGCTCCTCATCCCATCCCACCATCTCTGCTCCTCATCCCATCCCACCATCTCTGCTCCTCATCCAATCCCAACATCTCTGCTCCTCATCCCATCCCACCATCTCTGCTCCTCATCCCATCCCACCATCTCTGCTCCTCATCCCATCCCACCATCTCTGCTCCTCATCCCATCCCATCCCATCTTCTCTGCTCCTCATCCCATCCCACCATCTCTGCTCCTCATCCCATCCCACCATCTCTGCTCATCATCCCATCCCACCATCTCTGCTCCTCATCCCATCCCACCATCACTGCTCCTCATCCCATCCCACCATCTCTGCTCATCATCCCATCCCACCATCTCTGCTCCTCATCCCATCCCACCATCTCTGCTCCTCATCCCATCCCACCATCTCTGCTCCTCATCCCATCCCACCATCTCTGCTCCTCATCCCATCCCACCATCTCTGCTCCTCATCCCATCCCGCCATCTCTGCTCCTCATCCCATCCCAATATCTCTGCTCCTCATCCCATCCCACCATCTCTGCTCCTCATCCCATCCCACCATCTCTGCTCCTCATCCCATCCCACCATCTCTGCTCCTCATCCCATCCCACCATCTCTGCTCCTCATCCCATCCCATCCCATCTTCTCTGCTCCTCATCTCATCCCACCATCTCTGCTCCTCATCCCATCCCACCATCTCTGCTCCTCATCCCATCTCACCATCTCTGCTCCTCATCCCATCCCACCATCTCTGCTCCTCATCCCATCCCACCATCTCTGCTCCTCATCCCATCCCACCATCTCTGCTCCTCATCCCATCCCACCATCTCTGCTCCTCATCCCATCCCATCATCTCTGCTCCTCATCCCATCCCACCATCTCTGCTCCTCATCCCATCCCACCATCTCTGCTCCTCATCCCATCCCGCCATCTCTGCTCCTCATCCCATCCCAATATCTCTGCTCCTCATCCCATCCCACCATCTCTGCTCCTCATCCCATCCCACCATCTCTGCTCCTTATCCCATCCCACCATCTCTGCTCCTCATCCCATCCCACAATCTCTGCTCCTCATCCCATCCCATCCCATCTTCTCTGCTCCTCATCCCATCCCACCATCTCTGCTCCTCATCCCATCCCACCATCTCTGCTCATCATCCCATCCCACCATCTCTGCTCCTCATCCCATCCCACCATCACTGCTCCTCATCCCATCCCACCATCTCTGCTCATCATCCCATCCCACCATCTCTGCTCCTCATCCCATCCCACCATCTCTGCTCCTCATCCCATCCCACCATCTCTGCTCCTCATCCCATCCCACCATCTCTGCTCCTCATCCCATCCCACCATCTCTGCTCCTCATCCCATCCCACCATCTCTGCTCCTCATCCCATCCCACCATCTCTGCTCCTCATCCCATCCCACCATCTCTGCTCCTCATCCCATCCCATCCCATCTTCTCTGCTCCTCATCCCATCCCATCCCATCTTCTCTACTCCTCATCCCATCCCACCATCTCTGCTCATCATCCCATCCCACCATCTCTGCTCCTCATCCCATCCCATCCCATCGTCTCTGCTCCTCATCCCATCCCACCATCTCTGCTCCTCATCCCATCCCACCATCTCTGCTCCTCATCCCATCCCACCATCTCTGCTCCTTATCCCATCCCACCATCTCTGCTCCTCATCCCATCCCACCATCTCTGCTCCTCATCCCATCCCACCATCTTTGCTCCTCATCCCATCCCACCATCTCTGCTCATCATCCCATCCCACCATCTCTGCTCCTCATCCCATCCCATCCCATCGTCTCTGCTCCTCATCCCATCCCACCATCTCTGCTCCTCATCCCGTCCCACCATCTCTGCTCCTCATCCCATCCCACCATCTCTGCTCCTCATCCCATCCCACCATCTCTGCTCCTCATCCCATCCCACCATCTCTGCTCCTCATCCCATCCCACCATCTCTGCTCCTCATCCCATCCCACCATCTCTTCTCCTCATCCCATCCCACCATCTCTGCTCCTCATCCCATCCCACCATCTCTGCTCCTCATCCCATCCCACCATCTCTGCTCCTCATCCCATCCCACCATCTTTGCTCCTCATCCCATCCCACCATCTCTGCTCCTCATCCCATCCCACCATCTCTGCTCCTCATCCCATCCCACCATCTCTGCTCCTCATCCCATCCCACCATCTCTGCTCATCATCCCATCCCACCATCTCTGCTCCTCATCCCATCCCACCATCTCTGCTCCTCATCCCATCCCACCATCTCTGCTCCTCATCCCATCCCACCATCTCTGCTCCTCATCCCATCCCACCATCTCTGCTCCTCATCCCATCCCGCCATCTCTGCTCCTCATCCCATCCCAATATCTCTGCTCCTCATCCCATCCCACCATCTCTGCTCCTCATCCCATCCCACCATCTCTGCTCCTCATCCCATCCCACCATCTCTGCTCCTCATCCCATCCCACCATCTCTGCTCCTCATCCCATCCCACCATCTCTGCTCCTCATCCCATCCCACCATCTCTGCTCCTCATCCCATCCCACCATCTCTGCTCCTCATCCCATCCCACCATCTCTGCTCCTCATCCCATCCCACCATCTCTGCTCCTCATCCCATCCCATCCCATCTTCTCTGCTCCTCATCCCATCCCATCCCATCTTCTCTGCTCCTCATCCCATCCCACCATCTCTGCTCATCATCCCATCCCACCATCTCTGCTCCTCATCCCATCCCATCCCATCGTCTCTGCTCCTCATCCCATCCCACCATCTCTGCTCCTCATCCCGTCCCACCATCTCTGCTCCTCATCCCATCCCACCATCTCTGCTCCTCATCCCATCCCACCATCTCTGCTCCTCATCCCATCCCACCATCTCTGCTCCTCATCCCATCCCACCATCTCTGCTCCTCATCCCATCCCACCATCTCTTCTCCTCATCCCATCCCACCATCTCTGCTCCTCATCCCATCCCACCATCTCTGCTCCTCATCCCATCCCACCATCTCTGCTCCTCATCCCATCCCACCATCTTTGCTCATCATCCCATCCCACCATCTCTGCTCCTCATCCCATCCCACCATCTCTGCTCCTCATCCCATCCCACCATCTCTGCTCCTCATCCCATCCCACCGTCTCTCCTCATCATCCAATCCCACCATCTCTGCTCCTCATCCCATCCCACCATCTCTGCTCCTCATCCCATCCCACCATCTCTGCTCCTCATCCCATCCCACCATCTTTGCTCCTCATCCCATCCCACCATCTCTGCTCCTCATCCCATCCCACCATCTCTGCTCCTCATCCCATCCCACCATCTCTGCTCCTCATCCCATCCCACCGTCTCTCCTCATCATCCCATCCCACCATCTCTGCTCCTCATCCCATCCCACCATCTCTGCTCCTCATCCCATCCCACCATCTCTGCTCCTCATCCCATCCCACCATCTCTGCTCCTCATCCCATCCCACCATCTCTGCTCATCATCCCATCCCACCATCTCTGCTCCTCATCCCATCCCACCATCTCTGCTCCTCATCCCATCCCACCATCTCTGCTCCTCATCCCATCCCACCATCTCTGCTCCTCATCCCATCCCACCATCTCTGCTCCTCATCCCATCCCGCCATCTCTGCTCCTCATCCCATCCCAATATCTCTGCTCCTCATCCCATCCCACCATCTCTGCTCCTCATCCCATCCCACCATCTCTGCTCCTCATCCCATCCCACAATCTCTGCTCCTCATCCCATCCCACCATCTCTGCTCCTCATCCCATCCCACCATCTCTGCTCCTCATCCCATCCCACCATCTCTGCTTCTCATCCCATCCCACCATCTCTGCTCCTCATCCCATCCCACCATCTCTGCTCCTCATCCCATCCCACCATCTCTGCTCCTCATCCCATCCCACCATCTCTGCTCCTCATCCCATCCCATCCCATCTTCTCTGCTCCTCATCCCATCCCATCCCATCTTCTCTACTCCTCATCCCATCCCACCATCTCTGCTCATCATCCCATCCCACCATCTCTGCTCCTCATCCCATCCCATCCCATCGTCTCTGCTCCTCATCCCATCCCACCATCTCTGCTCCTCATCCCATCCCACCATCTCTGCTCCTCATCCCATCCCACCATCTCTGCTCCTTATCCCATCCCACCATCTCTGCTCCTCATCCCATCCCACCATCTCTGCTCCTCATCCCATCCCACCATCTCTGCTCCTCATCCCATCCCACCATCTCTGATCCTCATCCCATCCCACCATCTCTTCTCCTCATCCCATCCCACCATCTCTGCTCCTCATCCCATCCCACCATCTCTGCTCCTCATCCCATCCCACCATCTCTGCTCCTCATCCCATCCCACCATCTTTGCTCATCATCCCATCCCACCATCTCTGCTCCTCATCCCATCCCACCATCTCTGCTCCTCATCCCATCCCACCATCTCTGCTCCTCATCCCATCCCACCGTCTCTCCTCATCATCCAATCCCACCATCTCTGCTCCTCATCCCATCCCACCATCTCTGCTCCTCATCCCATCCCACCATCTCTGCTCCTCATCCCATCCCACCATCTTTGCTCCTCATCCCATCCCACCATCTCTGCTCCTCATCCCATCCCACCATCTCTGCTCCTCATCCCATCCCACCATCTCTGCTCCTCATCCCATCCCACCGTCTCTCCTCATCATCCCATCCCACCATCTCTGCTCCTCATCCCATCCCACCATCTCTGCTCCTCATCCCATCCCACCATCTCTGCTCCTCATCCCATCCCACCATCTCTGCTCCTCATCCCATCCCACCATCTCTGCTCATCATCCCATCCCACCATCTCTGCTCCTCATCCCATCCCACCATCTCTGCTCCTCATCCCATCCCACCATCTCTGCTCCTCATCCCATCCCACCATCTCTGCTCCTCATCCCATCCCACCATCTCTGCTCCTCATCCCATCCCGCCATCTCTGCTCCTCATCCCATCCCAATATCTCTGCTCCTCATCCCATCCCACCATCTCTGCTCCTCATCCCATCCCACCATCTCTGCTCCTCATCCCATCCCACAATCTCTGCTCCTCATCCCATCCCACCATCTCTGCTCCTCATCCCATCCCACCATCTCTGCTCCTCATCCCATCCCACCATCTCTGCTTCTCATCCCATCCCACCATCTCTGCTCCTCATCCCATCCCACCATCTCTGCTCCTCATCCCATCCCACCATCTCTGCTCCTCATCCCATCCCACCATCTCTGCTCCTCATCCCATCCCATCCCATCTTCTCTGCTCCTCATCCCATCCCATCCCATCTTCTCTACTCCTCATCCCATCCCACCATCTCTGCTCATCATCCCATCCCACCATCTCTGCTCCTCATCCCATCCCATCCCATCGTCTCTGCTCCTCATCCCATCCCACCATCTCTGCTCCTCATCCCATCCCACCATCTCTGCTCCTCATCCCATCCCACCATCTCTGCTCCTTATCCCATCCCACCATCTCTGCTCCTCATCCCATCCCACCATCTCTGCTCCTCATCCCATCCCACCATCTTTGCTCCTCATCCCATCCCACCATCTCAGCTCATCATCCCATCCCACCATCTCTGCTCCTCATCCCATCCCATCCCATCGTCTCTGCTCATCATCCCATCCCACCATCTCTGCTCCTCATCCCGTCCCACCATCTCTGCTCCTCATCCCATCCCACCATCTCTGCTCCTCATCCCATCCCACCATCTCTGCTCCTCATCCCATCCCACCATCTCTGCTCCTCATCCCATCCCACCATCTCTGCTCCTCATCCCATCCCACCATCTCTTCTCCTCATCCCATCCCACCATCTCTGCTCCTCATCCCATCCCACCATCTCTGCTCCTCATCCCATCCCACCATCTCTGCTCCTCATCCCATCCCACCATCTTTGCTCCTCATCCCATCCCACCATCTCTGCTCCTCATCCCATCCCACCATCTCTGCTCCTCATCCCATCCCACCATCTCTGCTCCTCATCCCATCCCACCATCTCTGCTCATCATCCCATCCCACCATCTCTGCTCCTCATCCCATCCCACCATCTCTGCTCCTCATCCCATCCCACCATCTCTGCTCCTCATCCCATCCCACCATCTCTGCTCCTCATCCCATCCCACCATCTCTGCTCCTCATCCCATCCCGCCATCTCTGCTCCTCATCCCATCCCAATATCTCTGCTCCTCATCCCATCCCACCATCTCTGCTCCTCATCCCATCCCACCATCTCTGCTCCTCATCCCATCCCACCATCTCTGCTCCTCATCCCATCCCACCATCTCTGCTCCTCATCCCATCCCACCATCTCTGCTCCTCAACCCATCCCACCATCTCTGCTCCTCATCCCATCCCACCATCTCTGCTCCTCATCCCATCCCACCATCTCTGCTCCTCATCCCATCCCACCATCTCTGCTCCTGATCCCATCCCATCCCATCTTCTCTGCTCCTCATCCCATCCCATCCCATCTTCTCTGCTCCTCATCCCATCCCACCATCTCTGCTCATCATCCCATCCCACCATCTCTGCTCCTCATCCCATCCCATCCCATCGTCTCTGCTCCTCATCCCATCCCACCATCTCTGCTCCTCATCCCGTCCCACCATCTCTGCTCCTCATCCCATCCCACCATCTCTGCTCCTCATCCCATCCCACCATCTCTGCTCCTCATCCCATCCCACCATCTCTGCTCCTCATCCCATCCCACCATCTCTGCTCCTCATCCCATCCCACCATCTCTTCTCCTCATCCCATCCCACCATCTCTGCTCCTCATCCCATCCCACCATTTCTGCTCCTCATCCCATCCCACCATCTCTGCTCCTCATCCCATCCCACCATCTTTGCTCATCATCCCATCCCACCATCTCTGCTCCTCATCCCATCCCACCATCTCTGCTCCTCATCCCATCCCACCATCTCTGCTCCTCATCCCATCCCACTGTCTCTTCTCCTCATCCCATCCCACCGTCTCTCCTCATCATCCCATCCCACCATCTCTGCTCCTCATCCCATCCCACCATCTCTGCTCCTCATCCCATCCCACCATCTTTGCTCCTCATCCCATCCCACCATCTCTGCTCCTCATCCCATCCCACCATCTCTGCTCCTCATCCCATCCCACCATCTTTGCTCCTCATCCCATCCCACCATCTCTGCTCCTCATCCCATCCCACCATCTCTGCTCCTCATCCCATCCCACCGTCTTTGCTCCTCATCCCATCCCACCATCTCTGCTCCTCATCCCATCCCACCATCTCTTCTCCTCATCCCATCCCACCATCTCTGCTCCTCATCCCATCCCACCATCTCTGCTCCTCATCCCATCCCACCATCTCTGCTCCTCATCCCATCCCACCATCTTTGCTCCTCATCCCATCCCACCATCTCTGCTCCTCATCCCATCCCACCATCTCTGCTCCTCATCCCATCCCACCATCTCTGCTCCTCATCCCATCCCACCATCTTTGCTCCTCATCCCATCCCACCATCTCTGCTCCTCATCCCATCCCACCATCTCTTCTCCTCATCCCATCCCACCATCTCTGCTCCTCATCCCATCCCACCGTATTTGCTCCTCATCCCATCCCACCATCTCTGCTCCTCATCCCATCCCACCATCTCTTCTCCTCATCCCATCCCACCATCTCTGCTCCTCATCCCATCCCACCATCTCTGCTCCTCATCCCATCCCACCATCTCTGCTCCTCATCCCATCCCACCATCTTTGCTCCTCATCCCATCCCACCATCTCTGCTCCTCATCCCATCCCACCATCTCTGCTTCTCATCCCATCCCACCATCTCTGCTCCTCATCCCATCCCACCATCTCTGCTCCTCATCCCATCCCACCATCTCTTCTCCTCATCCCATCCCACCATCTCTGCTCCTCATCCCATCCCACCATCTCTGCTCCTCATCACATCCCACCATCTCGGCTCCTCATCCCATCCCACCATCTCTGCTCCTCATCCCATCCCACCATCTCTGCTCCTCATCCCATCCCACCATCTCTGCTCCTCATCCGATCTCACCATCTCTGCTCCTCATCCCATCCCACCATCTCTGCTCCTCATCCCATCCCACCATCTCTGCTCCTCATCCCATCCCACCATCTCTGCTCCTCATCCCATCCCACCGTCTCTCCTCATCATCCCATCCCACCATCTCTGCTCCTCATCACATCCCACCATCTCTGCTCCTCATCCCATCCCACCATCTCTGCTCCTCATCCCATTCCACCATCTCTGCTCCTCATCCCATCCCACCATCTCTGCTCCTCATCCCATCCCACCATCTCTGCTCCTCATCCCATCCCACCATCTCTGCTCCTCATCCCATCCCACCGTCTTTGCTCCTCATCCCATCCCACCATCTCTGCTCCTCATCCCATCCCACCATCTCTGCTCCTCATCCCATCCCACCATCTCTGCTCCTCATCCCATCCCACCATCTCTGCTCCTCATCCCATCCCACCAACTCTGCTCCTCATCCCATCCCACCATCTCTGCTCCTCATCCCATCCCACCATCTCTGCTCCTCATCCCATCCCACCATCTCTGCTCCTTATCCCATCCCACCATCTCTGCTCCTCATCCCATCCCACCATCTCTGCTCCTCATCCCATCCCACCGTGTCTCCTCATCATCCCATCCCACCATCTCTGCTCCTCATCCCATCGCACCATCTTTGCTCCTCATCCCATCCCACCATCTCTGCTCCTCATCCCATCCCACCATCTCTGCTCCTCATCCCATCCCACCATCTTTGCTCCTTATCCCATCCCACCATCTCTGCTCCTCATCCCATCCCACCATCTCTGCTCCTCATCCCATCCCACCATCTCTGCTCCTCATCCCATCCCACCATCTCTGCTCCTCATCCCATCCCACCATCTCTGCTCCTCATCCCATCCCACCGTCTCTCCTCATCATCCCATCCCACCATCTCTGCTCCTCATCCCATCGCACCATCTTTGCTCCTCATCCCATCCCACCATCTCTGCTCCTCATCCCATCCCACCATCTCTGCTCCTCATCCAATCCCACCATTTCTGCTCCTCATCCCATCCCACCATCTCTGCTCCTCATCCCATCCCACCATCTTTGCTCCTCATCCCATCCCACCATCTCTGCTCCTCATCCCATCCCACCATCTCTGCTCCTCATCCCATCCCACCATCTCTGCTCCTCATCCCAACCCACCATCTCTGCTCCTCATCCCATCCCACCATCTCTGCTCCTCATCCCATCCCACCGTCTTTGCTCCTCATCCCATCCCACCATCTCTGCTCCTCATCCCATCCCACCATCTCTTCTCCTCATCCCATCCCACCATCTCTGCTCCTCATCTAATCCCACCATCTCTGCTCCTCATCCCATCCCACCATCTCTGCTCCTCATCCCATCCCACCATCTCTGCTCCTCATCCCATTCCACCATCTCTGCTCCTCATCCCATCCCACCATCTCTGCTCCTCATCCAATCCCAAAATCTCTGCTCCTCATCCCATCCCACCGTCTCTCCTCATCATCCCATCCCACCATCTCTGCTCCTCATCCCATCCCACCATCTCTGCTCATCATCCCATCCCACCATCCCTGCTCCTCATCCCATCCCACCATCTCTGCTCCTCATCCCATCCCACCATCTCTGCTCCTCATCCCATCCCACCATCTCTGCTCCTCATCCCATCCCACCATCTCTGCTCCTCATCCCATCCCACCATCTTTGCTCCTCATCCCATCCCACCATCTCTGCTCCTCATCCCATCCCACCATCTCTGCTCCTCATCCCATCCCACCATCTCTGCTCCTCATCCCATCCCACCATCTCTGCTCCTCATCCCATCCCACCATCTCTGCTCCTCATCCCATCCCACCGTCTTTGCTCCTCATCCCATCCCACCATCTCTGCTCCTCATCCCATCCCACCATCTCTGCTCCTCATCCCATCCCACCATCTCTGCTCCTCATCCCATCCCACCATCTCTGCTCCTCATCCCATCCCACCATCTCTGCTCCTCATCCCATTCCACCATCTCTGCTCCTCATCCCATCTCACCATCTCTGCTCCTCATCCAATCCCACCATCTCTTCTCCTCATCCCATCCCACCATCTTTGCTCCTCATCCCATCCCACCATCTCTGCTCCTCATCCCTTCCCACCATCTCTGCTCCTCATCCAATCCCACCATCTCTGCTCCTCATCCCATCCCACCATCTCTGCTCCTCATCCCATCCCACCATCTTTGCTCCTCATCCCATCCCACCATCTTTGCTCCTCATCCCATCCCACCATCTTTGCTCCTCATCCCATCCCACCATCTTTGCTCCTCATCCCTTCCCACCATCTCTGCTCCTCATCCAATCCCACCATCTCTGCTCCTCATCCCATCCCACCATCTCTGCTCCTCATCCCATCCCACCATCTCTGCTCCTCATCCCATCCCACCATCTCTGCTCCTCATCCCATCCCACCATCTCTGCTCCTCATCCCATCCCACCATCTCTGCTCCTCATCCCATCCCACCGTCTCTCCTCATCATCCCATCCCACCATCTCTGCTCCTCATCCCATCCCACCATCTCTGCTCCTCATCCCATCCCACCATTTCTGCTCCTCATCCCATCCCACTATCTCTGCTCCTCATCCCATCCCACAGTCTCTCCTCCTCATCCAATCCCACCGTCTCTCCTCATCATCCCATCCCACCATCTCTGCTCCTCATCCCATCCCACCATCTCTGCTCCTCATCCCATCCCACCATCTCTGCTCCTCATCCCATCCCACCATCTCTGCTCCTCATCCCATCCCACCATCTCTGCTCCTCATCCCATCCCACCATCTCTGCTCCTCATCCCATCCCACCATCTCTGCTCCTCATCCCATCCCACCGTCTCTGCTCCTCATCCCATCCCACAGTCTCTGCTCCTCATCCCATCCCACCGTCTCTCCTCATCATACCATCCCACCATTTCTGCTCCTCATCCCATCCCACTATCTCTGCTCCTCATCCCATCCCACCATCTCTCCTCCTCATCCCATCCCACCGTCTCTCCTCATCATCCCATCCCACCATCTCTGTTCCTCATCCCATCCCACCATCTCTGCTCCTCATCCCATCCCACCATCTCTGCTCCTCATCCCATCCCACCGTCTCTGCTCCTCATCCCATCCCACAGTCTCTGCTCCTCATCCCATCCCACCGTCTCTCCTCATCAAACCATCCCACCATTTCGGCTCCTCATCCCATCCCACTATCTCTGCTCCTCATCCCATCCCACCATCTCTCCTCCTCATCCCATCCCACCGTCTCTCCTCATCATCCCATCCCACCATCTCTGCTCCTCATCCCATCCCACCATCTTTGCTCCTCATCCCATCCCACCATCTCTGCTCCTCATCCCATCCCACCATCTCTGCTCCTCATCCCATCCCACCATCTCTGCTCCTCATCCCATCCCACCATCTTTGCTCCTCATCCCATCCCACCATCTTTGCTCCTCATCCCATCCCACCATCTTTGCTCCTCATCCCATCCCACCATCTCTGCTCCTCATCCCTTCCCACCATCTCTGCTCCTCATCCAATCCCACCATCTCTGCTCCTCATCCCATCCCACCATCTCTGCTCCTCATCCCATCCCACCATCTCTGCTCCTCATCCCATCCCACCATCTCTGCTCCTCATCCCATCCCACCATCTCTGCTCCTCATCCCATCCCACCATCTCTGCTCCTCATCCCATCCCACCGTCTCTCCTCATCATCCCATCCCACCATCTCTGCTCCTCATCCCATCCCACCATCTCTGCTCCTCATCCCATCCCACCATTTCTGCTCCTCATCCCATCCCACTATCTCTGCTCCTCATCCCATCCCACAGTCTCTCCTCCTCATCCCATCCCACCGTCTCTCCTCATCATCCCATCCCACCATCTCTGCTCCTCATCCCATCCCACCATCTCTGCTCCTCATCCCATCCCACCATCTCTGCTCCTCATCCCATCCCACCATCTCTGCTCCTCATCCCATCCCACCATCTCTGCTCCTCATCCCATCCCACCATCTCTGCTCCTCATCCCATCCCACCATCTCTGCTCCTCATCCCATTCCACCGTCTCTGCTCCTCATCCCATCCCACAGTCTCTGCTCCTCATCCCATCCCACGGTCTCTCCTCATCATACCATCCCACCATTTCTGCTCCTCATCCCATCCCACCGTCTCTGCTCCTCATCCCATCCCACAGTCTCTGCTCCTCATCCCATCCCACGGTCTCTCCTCATCATACCATCCCACCATTTCTGCTCCTCATCCCATCCCACTATCTCTGCTCCTCATCCCATCCCACCATCTCTCCTCCTCATCCCATCCCACCGTCTCTCCTCATCATCCCATCCCACCATCTCTGTTCCTCATCCCATCCCACCATCTCTGCTCCTCATCCCATCCCACCGTCTCTGCTCCTCATCCCATCCCACAGTCTCTGCTCCTCATCCCATCCCACCGTCTCTCCTCATCAAACCATCCCACCATTTCGGCTCCTCATCCCATCCCACTATCTCTGCTCCTCATCCCATCCCACCATCTCTCCTCCTCATCCCATCCCACCGTCTCTCCTCATCATCCCATCCCACCATCTCTGCTCCTCATCCCATCCCACCATCTTTGCTCCTCATCCCATCCCACCATCTCTGCTCCTCATCCCATCCCACCATCTCTGCTCCTCATCCCATCCCACCATCTCTGCTCCTCATCCCATCCCATCCCATCGTCTCTGCTGCTCATCCCATCCCAGCGTCTCTGCTCCTCATCCCATCCCACCGTCTCTCCTCATCATCCCATCCCACCATCTCTGCTCCTCATCCCATCCCACCATCTCTGCTCCTCATCCCATCCCACCATCTCTCCTCCTCATCCCATCCCACCGTCTCTCCTCATCATCCCATCCCACCATCTCTGTTCCTCATCCCATCCCACCATCTCTGCTCCTCATCCCATCCCACCATCTCTGCTCCTCATCCCATCCCACCAACTCTGCTCCTCATCCCATCCCACCATCTCTGCTCCTCATCCCATCCCACCATCTCTGCTCCTCATCCCATCCCACCATCTCTGCTCCTCATCCCATCCCACCGTCTCTCCTCATCATCCCATCCCACCATCTCTGCTCCTCCTCCCATCCCACCATCTCTGCTCCTCATCCCATCCCACCATCTCTGCTCCTCATCCCATCCCACCGTCTCTGCTCCTCATCCCATCCCACAGTCTCTGCTCCTCATCCCATCCCACCGTCTCTCCTCATCATACCATCCCACCATTTCTGCTCCTCATGCCATCCCACTATCTCTGCTCCTCATCCCATCCCACCATCTCTCCTCCTCATCCCATCCCACCGTCTCTCCTCATCATCCCATCCCACCATCTCTGCTCCTCATCCCATCCCACCATCTCTGCTCCTCATCCCATCCCACTATCTCTGCTCCTCATCCCATCCCACCATCTCTGCTCCTCATCCCATCCCACCATCTCTGCTCCTCATCCCATCCCACCATCTCTGCTCCTCATCCCATCCCACCGTCTCTTCTCATCATCCCATCCCACCATCTCTGCTCCTCATCCCATCCCACCATCTCTGCTCCTCATCCAATCCCACCATCTCTGCTCCTCATCCCATCCCACCATCTCTGCTCCTCATCCCATCCCACCATCTTTGCTTCTCATCCCATCCCACCATCTCTGCTCCTCATCCCATCCCACCATCTCTGCTCCTCATCCCATCCCACCATCTCTGCTCCTCATCCCAACCCACCATCTCTGCTCCTCATCCCATCCCACCATCTCTGCTCCTCATCCCATCCCACCGTCTTTGCTCCTCATCCCATCCCACCATCTCTGCTCCTCATCCCATCCCACCATCTCTTCTCCTCATCCCATCCCACCATCTCTGCTCCTCATCTCATCCCACCATCTCTGCTCCTCATCCCATCCCACCATCTCTGCTCCTCATCCCATCCCACCATCTCTGCTCCTCATCCCATTCCACCATCTCTGCTCCTCATCCCATCCCACCATCTCTGCTCCTCATTCCATCCCACCATCTCTGCTCCTCATCCCATCCCACCGTCTCTCCTCATCATCCCATCCCACCATCTCTGCTCCTCATCCCATCCCACCATCTCTGCTCCTCATCCCATCCCACCATCTCTGCTCCTCATCCCATTCCACCATCTCTGCTCCTCATCCCATCCCACCATCTCTGCTCCTCATCCAATCCCACCATCTCTTCTCCTCATCCCATCCCACCATCTTTGCTCCTCATCCCATCCCACCATCTCTGCTCCTCATCCCTTCCCACCATCTCTGCTCCTCATCCAATCCCACCATCTCTGCTCCTCATCCCATCCCACCATCTCTGCTCCTCATCCCATCCCACCATCTTTCCTCCTCATCCCATCTCACCATCTCTGCTCCTCATCCCATCCCACCATCTCTGCTCCTCATCCCATCCCACCATCTTTCCTCCTCATCCCATCTCACCATCTTTACTCCTCATCCCATCCCACCATCTTTGCTCCTCATCCCATCCCACCATCTCTGCTCCTCATCCCTTCCCACCATCTCTGCTCCTCATCCAATCCCACCATCTCTGCTCCTCATCCCATCCCACCATCTCTGCTCCTCATCCCATCCCACCATCTCTGCTCCTCATCCCATCCCACCGTCTCTCCTCATCATCCCATCCCACCATCTCTGCTCCTCATCCCATCCCACCATCTCTGCTCCTCATCCCATCCCACCATCTTTGCTCCTCATCCCATCCCACCTCTCTGCTCCTCATCCCATCCCACCATCTCTGCTCCTCATCCCATCCCACCATCTTTGCTCCTCATCCCATCCCACCATCTCTGCTCCTCATCCCATCCCACCATCTCTGCTCCTCATCCCATCCCACCATCTCTGCTCCTCATCCCATCCCACCATCTCTCCTCCTCATCCCATCCCACCGTCTCTCCTCATCATCCCATCCCACCATCTCTGTTCCTCATCCCATCCCACCATCTCTGCTCCTCATCCCATCCCACCATCTCTGCTCCTCATCCCATCCCACCAACTCTGCTCCTCATCCCATCCCACCATCTCTGCTCCTCATCCCATCCCACCATCTCTGCTCCACATCCCATCCCACCATCTCTGCTCCTCATCCCATCCCACCGTCTCTCCTCATCATCCCATCCCACCATCTCTGCTCCTCATCCATCCCACCATCTCTGCTCCTCATCCCATCCCACCATCTCTGCTCCTCATCCCATCCCACCGTCTCTGCTCCTCATCCCATCCCACAGTCTCTGCTCCTCATCCCATCCCACCGTCTCTCCTCATCATACCATCCCACCATTTCTGCTCCTCATCCCATCCCACTATCTCTGCTCCTCATCCCATCCCACCATCTCTCCTCCTCATCCCATCCCACCGTCTCTCCTCATCATCCCATCCCACCATCTCTGTTCCTCATCCCATCCCACCATCTCTGCTCCTCATCCCATCCCACCATCTCTGCTCCTCATCCCATCCCACCAACTCTGCTCCTCATCCCATCCCACCATCTCTGCTCCTCATCCCATCCCACCATCTCTGCTCCTCATCCCATCCCACCATCTCTGCTCCTCATCCCATCCCACCGTCTCTCCTCATCATCCCATCCCACCATCTCTGCTCCTCATCCCATCCCACCATCTCTGCTCCTCATCCCATCCCACCATCTCTGCACCTCATCCCATCCCACCGTCTCTGCTCCTCATCCCATCCCACAGTCTCTGCTCCTCATCCCATCCCACCGTCTCTCCTCATCATACCATCCCACCATCTCTGCTCCTCATCCCATCCCACCATCTCTGCTCCTCATCCCATCCCACCGTCTCTCCTCATCATCCCATCCCACCATCTCTGCTCCTCATCCCATCCCACCATCTCTGCTCCTCATCCCATCCCACCATCTTTGCTCCTCATCCCATCCCACCATCTCTGCTCCTCATCCCATCCCACCATCTCTGCTCCTCATCCCATCCCACCATCTCTGCTCCTCATCCCATCCCACCATCTCTCCTCCTCATCCCATCCCACCGTCTCTCCTCATCATCCCATCCCACCATCTCTGTTCCTCATCCCATCCCACCATCTCTGATCCTCATCCCATCCCACCATCTCTGCTCCTCATCCCATCCCACCATCTCTGCTCCTCATCCCATCCCACCGTCTCTGGTCCTCATCCCATCCCACCGTCTCTGCTCCTCATCCCATCCCACCATCTCTACTCCTCATCCAATCCCACCATCTCTGCTCCTCATCCCATCCCACCGTCTCTCCTCATCATCCCATCCCACCATCTCTGCTCCTCATCCCATCCCACCATCTCTGCTCCTCATCCCATCCCACCATCTCTGCTCCTCATCCCATCCCACCGTCTCTCCTCATCATCCTATCCCACCATCTCTGCTCCTCATCCCATCCCACCATCTCTGCTCCTCATCCCATCCCACCATCTCTGCTCCTCATCCCATCCCACCGTCTCTGGTCCTCATCCGATCCCACCATCTCTGCTCCTCATCCCATCCCACCGTCTCTGCTCCTCATCCCATCCCACCGTCTCTCCTCATCATCCCATCCCACCATCTCTGCTCCTCATCCTATCCCACCATCTCTGCTCCTCATCCCATCCCACCATCTCTGCTCCTCATCCGATCCCACGATCTCTGCTCCTCATCCCATCCCACCGTCTCTGCTCCTCATCCCATCCCACCGTCTCTGCTCCTCAACCCATCCCACCATCTCTGCTCCTCATCCCATCCCACCATCTCTGATCCTCATCCCATCCCACCATCTCTGCTCCTCATCCCATTCCACCATCTCTGCTCCTCATCCCATCCCACCATCTCTGCTCCTCATCCCATCCCACCATCTCTGCTCCTCATCCCATCCCACCATCTCTGCTCCTCATCCCATCCCACCATCTCTGCTCCTCATCCCATCCCACCATCTCTGCTCCTCATCCCATCCCACCATCTATGCTCCTCATCCCATCCCACCATCTCTTCTCCTCATCCCATCCCACCATCTCTGCTCCTCATGCCATCCAACCATCTCTGCTCCTCATCCCATTCCACCATCTCTGCTCCTCATCCCATCCCACCATCTCTGCTCCTCATCCCATCCCACCATCTCTGCTCCTCATCCATCCCACCATCTCTGCTCCTCATCCCATCCCACCGTCTCTGCTCCTCATCCCATCCCACCGTCTCTGCTCCTCATCCCATCCCACCGTCTTTCCTCATCATCCCATCCCACCATCTCTGCTCCTCATCCCATCCCACCATCTCTGCTCCTCATCCCATCCCACCATCTCTCCTCCTCATCCCATCCCACCGTCTCTCCTCATCATCCCATCCCACCATCTCTGCTCCTCATCCCATCCCACCATCTCTGCTCCTCATCCCATCCCACCATCTCTGCTCCTCATCCCATCCCACCGTCTCTCCTCATCATCCCATCCCACCATCTCTGCTCCTCATCCCATCCCACCATCTCTGCTCCTCATCCCATCCCACCATCTCTGCTCCTCATCCCATCCCAACATCTCTGCTCCTCATCCCATCCAACCATATCTGCTCCTCATCCCAACCTACCATCTCTGCTCCTCATCCCATCCCACCATCTCTGCTCCTGATCCCATCCCACCGTCTCTCCTCATCATCACATCCCACCATCTCTGCTCCTCATCCCATCCCACCATCTCTGCTCCTCATCCCATCCCACCATCTCTGGTCCTCATCCCATCCCACCATCTCTGCTCCTCATCCCATCCCACCATTTCTGCTCCTCATCCCATCCCACCATCTCTGCTCCTCATCCCATCCCACCATCTCTGCTCATCATCCCATCCCACCATCTCTGCTCCTCATCCCATACCACCATCTCTGCTCCTCATCCCATCCCACCATCTCTGCTCCTCATCCCATCCCACCATCTCTGCTCCTCATCCCATCCATCCATCTCTGCTCCTCATCCCATCCCACCATCTCTGCTCCTCATCCCATCCCACCATCTCTCCTTATCATCCCATCCCACCGTCTCTGCTCCTCATCCCATCCCACCGTCTCTGCTCCTCATCCCATCGCACCATCTCTGCTCCTCATCCCATCCCACCATCTCTGATCCTCATCCCATCCCACCATCTCTGCTCCTCATCCCATCCCACCATCTCTGCTCCTCATCCCATCCCACCGTCTCTGGTCCTCATCCCATCCCACCGTCTCTCCTCATCATCCCATCCCACAACCTCTGCTCCTCATCCCATCCCACCATCTCTGCTCCTCATCCCATCCCACTATCTCTGCTCCTCATCCCATCCCACCGTCTCTCCTCATCATCCCATCCCACAACCTCTGCTCCTCATCCCATCCCACCATCTCTGCTCCTCATCCCATCCCACCATCTCTGCTCCTCATCCCATCCCACCGTCTCTCCTCATCATCCCATCCCACCATCTCTGCTCCTCATCCCATCCCACCATCTCTGCTCCTCATCCCATCCCACCATCTCTGCTCCTCATCCCATCCCACCGTCTCTGGTCCTCATCCCATCCCACCGTCTCTGCTCCTCATCCCATCCCACCATCTCTGCTCCTCATCCGATCCCACCATCTCTGCTCCTCATCCCATCCCACCGTCTCTGCTCCTCATCCCATCCCACCGTCTCTCCTCATCATCCCATCCCACCATCTCTGCTCCTCATGCCATCCCACCATCTCTGCTCCTCATCCCATCCCACCATCTGCTCCTCATCCCATCCCACCATCTCTGCTCCTCATCCCATCCCACAATCTCTGCTCCTCATCCCATCCCACCGTCTCTGCTCCTCATCACCGTCCCCATCCATCTCTGCTCCTCATCCCATCCCACCATCTCTGCTCCTCATCCCATCCCACCGATCTCTGCTCCTCATCCCATCCACCATCTCTGCTCCTCATCCCCATCCACCATCTCTGCTCCTCATCCCATCCCACCATCTCTGCTCCTCATCCCATCCCACCGTCTCTGCTCTCATCCCATCCCACCAGTCTCTGCTCCTCATCCATCACCACCGGTCTCTCCTCATCATCCATCCCACCATCTCTGCTCCTCATCCCATCCCACCATCTCTGCTCCTCATCCCATCCCACCATCTCCTCCTCATCCCATCCCACCATCTCTGCTCCTCATCCCATCCCACCATCTCTGCTCCTCCTCCCCACCTCCCACATCTGCTCCTCATCCCATCCCCACCATCTCTGCTCCTCATCCCCACCACCGTGTCTGCTCCTCATCCCATCACAATCTCTGCTCCTCATCCCATCCCACCATCTCTGCTCCTCATCCCATCCCACCATCTCTGCTCTCATCCCATCCCCCATCTCTGCTCCTCATCCCATCCCACCATCTCTGCTCCTCATCCCATCCCACCATCTCTGCTCCTCATCCCATCCCACCGTCTCTGCTCCTCATCCCATCCCACCGTCTCTGCTCCTCATCCCATCCCACCATCTCTCCTCATCATCCCATCCCACCATCTCTGCTCCTCATCCCATCCCACCATCTCTGCTCCTCATCCCATCCCACCATCTCTGCTCCTCATCCCATCCCACCATCTCTGCTCCTCATCCCATCCCACCATCTCTGCTCCTCATCCCATCCCACCATCTCTGCTCCTCATCCCATCCCACCATCTCTGCTCCTCATCCCATCCCACCATCTCTGCTCCTCATCCCATCCCACCATCTCTGCTCCTCATCCCATCCCACCATCTCTCCTCATCATCCCATCCCACCATCTCTGCTCCTCATCCCATCCCACCATCTCTGCTCCTCATCCCATCCCACCATCTCTGCTCCTCATCCCATCCCACCGTCTCTCCTCATCATCCCATCCCACAATCTCTGCTCCTCATCCCATCCCACCATCTCTGCTCCTCATCCCATCCCACCATCTCTGCTCCTCATCCCATCCCACCGTCTCCCTCATCATCCCATCCCACCATCTCTGCTCCTCATCCCATCCCACCATCATCTGCTCCTCATCCCATCCCACCATCTCTGCTCCTCATCCCATCCCACACTCTGCTCCTCATCCCATCCACCGATCTCTGCTCCTCATCCCAATCCCACCATCTCATGCTCCTCATCCCATCCACCATCTCTGCTCCTCATCCCATTCCCACAGTCTCTGCTCCTCATCCCATCCCACCATCTCTGCTCCTCATCCCATCCACCATCTCTGCTCCTCATCCCATCCCACCATCTCTGCTCCTCATCCCATCCCACCATCTCTGCTCCTCATCCCATCCCACCGATCTCTGCTCCCATCCCATCCCATCGTCTCTGTCCTCATCCCATCCCCACCATCTCTGCTCCTCATCCCATCCCACCATCTCTGCTCCTCATACCCATCCCACCATCTCTGCTCCTCATCCCATCCCACCATCTCTGCCTGCCTCATCCCATCCCAGCCATCTCTCTCATCATCCCATCCACCATCTCTGCTCCTCATCCCATCCACCATCTCTGCTCCTCATCCCATCCCATCCCCATCCCATCCACCATCTCTGCTCCTCATCCCATCCCACCGTCTCTCTCATCATCCCATCCCACCATCTCTGCTCCTCATCCCATCCCACCATCTCTGCTCCTCATCCCATCCCACCATCTCTGCTCCTCATCCCATCCCACCATCTCTGCTCCTCATCCCATCCCACCATCTCTGCTCCTCATCCCATACCTACCATCTCTGCTCCTCATCCCATCCCACCATCTCTGCTCCTCGATCCCATCCCACCAGTCTCTGCTCATCATCCATCCACCATCTCTGCTCCTCATCCCATCCACCATCTCTGCTCCTCATCCCATCCCACCATCTCTGCTCCTCATCCCATCCCACCATCTCTGCTCCTCATCCCATCCCACCATCTCTGCTCCTCATCCCATCCCACCATCTCTGCTCCTCATCCCATCCCACCATCTCTGCTCCTCATCCCATCCCACCATCTCTGCTCCTCATCCCATCCCACCATCTCTGCTCCTCATCCCATCCCACCATCTCTGCTCCTCATCCCATCCCACCATCTCTGCTCCTCATCCCATCCATCCATCTCTGCTCCTCATCCCATCCCACCATCTCTGCTCCTCATCCCATCCCACCATCTCTGCTCCTCATCCCATCCCACCGTCTCTGCTCCTCATCCCATCCCACCGTCTCTGCTCCTCATCCCATCTGCTCCTCATCCATCCCACCATCTCTGCTCCTCATCCCATCCACCGTCTCTGCTCCTCATCCCATCCCACCATCTCTGCTCCTCATCCCATCCCACCATCTCTGCTCCTCATCCCATCCCACCATCTCTGCTCCTCAATCCCATCCCACCATCTCTGCTCCTCATCCCATCCCACCATCTCTGCTCCTCATCCCATCCCACCATCTCTGCTCCTCATCCCATCCCACCATCTCTGCTCCTCATCCCATCCCACCATCTCTGCTCCTCATCCCATCCCACCATCTCTGCTCCTCATCCCATCCCACCATCTCTGCTCCTCATCCCATCCCACCATCTCTGCTCCTCATCCCATCCCACCATCTCTGCTCCTCATCCCATCCCACCAGTCTCTGCTCCTCATCCCATCCCACCATCTCTGCTCCTCATCCCATCCCACCATCTCTGCTCCTCATCCATCCCACCATCTCTGCTCCTCATCCCATCCCACCATCTCTGCTCCTCATCCCATCCCACCATCTCTGCTCCTCATCCCATCCCACCATCTCTGCTCCTCATCCCATCCCACCATCTCTGCTCCTCATCCCATCCCACCATCTCTGCTCCTCATCCCATCCCACCATCTCTGCTCCTCATCCCATCCCACCATCTCTGCTCCTCATCCCATCCACCATCTCTGCTCCTCATCCCATCCCACCATCTCTGCTCCTCATCCCATCCCACCATCTCTGCTCCTCATCCCATCCCACCATCTCTGCTCCTCATCCCATCCCACCATCTCTGCTCCTCATCCCATCCCACCATCTCTGCTCCTCATCCCATCCCACCATCTCTGCTCCTCATCCCATCCCACCATCTCTGCTCCTCATCCCATCCCACCGTCTCTGCTCCTCATCCCATCCCACCATCTCTGCTCCTCATCCCATCCCACCATCTCTGCTCCTCATCCCATCCCACCATCTCTGCTCCTCATCCCATCCACAGTCTCTCCTCATCATCCCATCCCACCATCTCTGCTCCTCATCCCATCCCACCATCTCTGCTCCTCATCCCATCCCACCATCTCTGCTCCTCATCCCATCCCACCGATCTCTGCTCCTCATCCCATCCCACCATCTCTGCTCCTCATCCCATCCCACCATCTCTGCTCCTCATCCCAATCCCACCATCTCTGCTCCTCATCCCATCCCACCAGTCTCTCCTCATCATCCCATCCCACCATCTCTGCTCCTCATCCCATCCCACCATCTTTGCTCCTCATCCCATCCCACCATCTCTGCTCCTCATCCCATCCCACCAGTCTCTGCTCCTCATCCCATCCCACCATCTCTGCTCCTCATCCCATCCCACCATCTCTGCTCCTCTCCCATCCCACCATCTTCTGCTCCTCATCCCCTCCCACCATCTCTGCTCCTCATCCCATCCCACCAGTCTCTCCTCCTCATCCCATCCCACCATCTCTCGCTCCTCATCCCATCCCACCATCTCTGCTCCTCATCCCATCCCACCATCTCTGCTCCTCATCCCATCCCACCGTCTCTGCTCATCATCCCATCCCACCGTCTCTGCTCCTCATCCCATCCCACCATCTCTGCTCCTCATCCCATCCCACCATCTCTGCTCCTCATCCCATCCCACCATCTCTGCTCCTCATCCCATCCCACCAGTCTCTGCTCCTCATCCCATCCCACCATCTCTGCTCCTCATCCCATCCCACCATCTCTGCTCCTCATCCCATCCCACCATCTCTGCTCCTCATGCCATCCCACCATCTCTGCTCATCATCCATCCCACCGTCCCACCATCTCTGCTCCTCATCCCTCCCACCATCTCTGCTCCTCATCCCATCCCACCGTCTCTGCTCCTCATCCCTCCCACCAGTCTCTGCTCCTCATCCATCCCACCAGTCTCTGCTCCTCATCCCATCCCACCCATCTCTGCTCCTCATCCATCCACCATCTCTGCTCCTCAATCCCATCCCACCATCTCTGCTCCCTCATCCCATCCCACCATCTCTGCTCCTCATCCCATCCCACCCGTCTCTGCTCCTCATCCCATCCACCATCTCTGCTCCTCATCCCATCCCCATCTCTGCTCCTCATCCATCCCACCATCTCTGCTCCTCATCCATCCCACCATCTCTGCTCCTCATCCCATCCCACCATCTCTGCTCCTCATCCCATCCCAACCATCTCTTCTCTCATCCCATCCCACTCATCTCTGCTCCTCATCCCATCCCACCCATCTCTGCTCCTCATCCCATCCCACCATCTCTGCTCCTCATCCCATCCCACCATCTCTGCTCCTCATCCCATCCACCATCTCTGCTCCTCATCCCATCCCACCATCTCTGCTCCTCATCCCATCCCACCATCTCTGCTCCTCATCCCATCCCACCATCTCTGCTCCTCATCCCATCCACCATCTCTGCTCCTCATCCCATCCCACCATCTCTGCTCCTCAATCCCATCCCACCATCTCTGCTCCTCATCCCATCCCACCATCTCTGCTCCTCATCCCATCCCACCATCTCTGCTCCTCATCCCATCCCACCATCTCTGCTCCTCATCCCATCCCACCTCTCTGCTCCTCATCCCATCCCACCATCTCTGCTCCTCATCCCATCCCACCAATCTCTTCTCCTCATCCCATCCCACCATCTCTGCTCCTCATCCCATCCCACCATCTCTGCTCCTCATCCCATCCCACCATCTCTGCTCCTCATCCCATCCCACCGTCTCTGCTCCTCATCCCATCCCACCGTCTCTGCTCCTCATCCCATCCCCACAGTCTCTGCCTCATCATACCATCCCACCATCTCTGCTCCTTCATCCCATCCCACTATCTCTGCTCCTCATCCCATCCCACCATCTCTGCCTCCTCATCCCATCCCACCGTCTCTCCTCATCATCCCATCCCACCATCTCTGCTCCTCATCCCATCCCACCATCTCTGCTCCGTCATCCCATCCCACCATCTCTGCTCCTCATCCGATCCCACCATCTCTGCTCCTCATCCCATCCCACCATCTATGCTCCTCATCCCATCCCACCATCTCTGCTCCTCATCCCATCCCACCGTCTCTGCTCCTCAACCCATCCCACCATCTCTGCTCCATCATCACCATCTCCATCCCATCCCCATCTCTGCCTCATCCCATTCCCACCATCTCTGCTCCTCATCCCATCCACCATCTCTGCTCCTCATCCCATCCCACCATCTCTGCTCCTCATCCCATCCCACCATCTCTGCTCCTCATCCCATCCCACCATCTCTGCTCCTCATCCCATCCCACCATCTCTGCTCCTCATCCCATCCCACCATCTCTGCTCCTCATCCCATCCCACCATCTCTGCTCCTCATCCCATCCACCATCTCTGCTCCTCATCCCATCCCACCATCTTTGCTCCTCATCCCATCCCACCATCTCTGCTCCTCATCCCATCCCACCATCTCTGCTCCTCATCCCATCCCACCATCTCTGCTCCTCATCCCATCCCACCATCTCTGCTCCTCATCCCATCCCACCATCTCTGCTCCTCATCCCATCCCACCATCTCTGCTCCTCATCCCATCCCACCATCTCAGCTCCTCATCCCATCCCACCATCTCTGCTCCTCATCCCATCCCACCATCTCTGCTCCTCATCATCCCATCCCACCATCTCTGCTCCTCATCCCATCCCACCATCTCTGCTCCTCATCCCATCCCACCGTCTCTGCTCCTCATCCCATCCCACCATCTCTGCTCCTCATCCCATCCCACCATCTCTGCTCCTCATCCCATCCCACCATCTCTGCTCCTCATCCCATCCCACCATCTCTGCTCCTCATCCCATCCCACCATCTCTGCTCCTCATCCATCCCACCATCTCTGCTCCTCATCCCATCCCACCGTCTCTCCTCATCATCCCATGCTCCTCATCCCATCCCACCATCTCTGCTCCTCATCCCATCCCACCATCTCTGCTCCTCATCCCATCCCACCATATCTGCTCCTCATCCCAACCCACCATCTCTGCTCCTCATCCCATCCCACCATCTCTGCTCCTCATCCCATCCCACCGTCTCTCCTCATCATCACATCCCACCATCTCTGCTCCTCATCCCATCCCACCATCTCTGCTCCTCATCCCATCCCACCATCTCTGGTCCTCATCCCATCCCACCATCTCTGCTCCTCATCCCATCCCACCCGTCTCTCCTCATCATCACATCCCACCATCTCTGCTCCTCATCCCATCCCACCATCTCTGGTCCTCATCCCATCCCACCATCTCTGCTCCTCATCCCATCCCACCATCTCTGCTCCTCATCCCATCCCACCATCTATGCTCCTCATCCCATCCCACCATCTCTTCTCCTCATCCCTTCCCACCATCTCTGCTCCTCATGCCATCCAACCATCTCTGCTCCTCATCCCATCCCACCATCTCTGCTCCTCATCCCATCCCACCATCTCTGCTCCTCATCCCATCCCACCATCTCTGCTCCTCATCCCATCCCACCATCTCTGCTCCTCATCCCATCCAACCATCTCTGCTCCTCATCCCATCCCACCATCTCTCCTCATCATCCCATCCCACCATCTCTGCTCCTCATCCCATCCCACCATCTCTGCTCCTCATCCCATCCCACCATCTCTGCTCTTCATCACATCCCACCGTCTCTCCTCATCATCCCATCCCACCATCTCTGCTCCTCATCCCATCCCACCATCTCTGCTCCTCATCCCATCCCACCATCTCTGCTCCTCATCCCATCCCACCATCTCTGCTCCTGATCCCATCCCACCATCTCTGCTCCTGATCCCATCCCACCGTCTCTCCTCATCATCACATCCCACCATCTCTGCTCCTCATCCCATCCCACCATCTCTGCTCCTCATCCCATCCCACCATCTCTGGTCCTCATCCCATCCCACCATCTCTGCTCCTCATCCCATCCCACCATCTCTGCTCCTCATCCCATCCCACCATCTCTGTTCCTCATCCCATCCCACCATCTCTGCTCATCATCCCATCCCACCATCTCTGCTCCTCATCCCATCCCACCATCTCTGCTCCTCATCCCATCCCACCATCTCTGCTCCTCATCCCATCCCACCATCTCTGCTCCTCATCCCATCCCACCATCTCTGCTCCTCATCCCATCCCACCATCTCTGCTCCTCATCCCATCCCACCATCTCTGCTCCTCATCCCATCCCACCATCTCTGCTCCTCATCCCATCCCACCATCTCTGGTCCTCATCCCATCCCACCATCTCTGCTCCTCATCCCATCCCACCATCTCTGCTCCTCATCCCATCCCACCATCTCTGCTCCTCATCCCATCCCACCATCTCTGCTCCTCATCCCATCCCACCATCTCTGCTCCTCATCCCATCCCACCGTCTCTGGTCCTCATCCCATCCCACTGTCTCTGCTCCTCATCCCATCCCACCATCTCTGCTCCTCATCCGATCCCACCATCTCTGCTCCTCATCCCATCCCACCGTCTCTGCTCCTCATCCCATCCCACCGTCTCTCCTCATCATCCCATCCCACCATCTCTGCTCCTCATCCCATCCCACCTTCTCTGCTCCTCATCCCATCCCACCATCTCTGCTCCTCATCCGATCCCACCATCTCTGCTCCTCACCCCATCCCACCGTCTCTGCTCCTCATCCCATCCCACCGTCTCTGCTCCTCAACCCATCCCACCATCTCTGCTCCTCATCCCATCCCACCATCTCTGATCCTCATCCCATGCCACCATCTCTGCTCCTCATCCCATTCCACCATCTCTGCTCCTCATCCCATCCCACCATCTCTGCTCCTCATCCCATCCCACCGTCTCTGGTCCTCATCCCATCCCACCGTCTCTGCTCCTCATCCCATCCCACCGTCTCTCCTCATCATCCCATCCCACCATCTCTGCTCCTCATCCCATCCCACCATCTCTGCTCCTCATCCCATCCCACCATCTCTGCTCCTCATCCCATCCCACCATCTCTGCTCCTCATCCCATCCCACCATCTCTGCTCCTCATCCCATCCCACCATCTCTGCTCCTCATCCCATCCCACCATCTATGCTCCTCATCCCGTCCCACCATCTCTGCTCCTCATCCCATCCCACCATCTCTGCTCCTCATGCCATCCCACCATCTCTGCTCCTCATCCCATCCCACCATCTCTGCTCCTCATCCCATCCCACCATCTCTGCTCCTCATCCCATCCCACCATCTCTGCTCCTCATCCCATCCCACCATCTCTGCTCCTCATCCCATCCCGCCATCTCTGCTCCTCATCCCATCCCAATATCTCTGCTCCTCATCCCATCCCACCATCTCTGCTCCTCATCCCATCCCACCATCTCTGCTCCTAATCCCATCCCACCATCTCTGCTCCTCATCCCATCCCACCGTCTCTGCTCCTCATCCCATCCCACCATCTCTGCTCCTCATCCGATCCCACCATCTCTGCTCCCCATCCCATCCCACCATCTCTGCTCCTCATCCCATCCCACCATCTCTGCTCCTCATCCCATCCCACCATCTCTCCTCATCATCCCATCCCACCATCTCTGCTCCTCATCCCATCCCACCATCTCTGCTCCTCATCCCATCCCACCATCTCTGCTCCTCATCCGATCCCACCATCTCTGCTCCTCATCCCATCCCACCATCTCTGCTCCTCATCCCATCCCACCATATCTGCTCCTCATCCCAACCCACCATCTCTGCTCCTCATCCCATCCCACCATCTCTGCTCCTCATCCCATCCCACCGTCTCTCCTCATCATCACATCCCACCATCTCTGCTCCTCATCCCATCCCACCATCTCTGCTCCTCATCCCATCCCACCATCTCTGGTCCTCATCCCATCCCACCATCTCTGCTCCTCATCCCATCCCACCGTCTCTCCTCATCATCACATCCCACCATCTCTGCTCCTCATCCCATCCCACCATCTCTGCTCCTCATCCCATCCCACCATCTCTGGTCCTCATCCCATCCCACCATCTCTGCTCCTCATCCCATCCCACCATCTCTGCTCCTCATCCCATCCCACCATCTATGCTCCTCATCCCATCCCACCATCTCTGCTCCTCATCCCATCCCACCATCTCTGCTCCTCATCCCATCCCACCATCTCTGGTCCTCATCCCATCCCACCATCTCTGCTCCTCATCCCATCCCACCATCTCTGCTCCTCATCCCATCCCACCATCTCTGCTCCTCATCCCATCCAACCATCTCTGCTCCTCATCCCATCCCACCATCTCTGCTCCTCATCCCATCCCACCGTCTCTGGTCCTCATCCCATCCCACCGTCTCTGGTCCTCATCCCATCCCACCGTCTCTGCTCCTCATCCCATCCCACCATCTCTGCTCCTCATCCGATCCCACCATCTCTGCTCCTCATCCCATCCCCACCGTCTCTGCTCCTCATCCCATCCCACCGTCTCTCCTCATCATCCCATCCCACCATCTCTGCTCCTCATCCCATCCCACCATCTCTGCTCCTCATCCCATCCCACCATCTCTGCTCCTCATCCCATCCCACCATCTCTGCTCCTCATCCCATCCCACCATCTCTGCTCCTCATCCCATCCAACCATCTCTGCTCCTCATCCGATCCCACCATCTCTGCTCCTCACCCCATCCCACCGTCTCTGCTCCTCATCCCATCCCACCGTCTCTGCTCCTCAACCCATCCCACCATCTCTGCTCCTCATCCCATCCCACCATCTCTGATCCTCATCCCATCCCACCATCTCTGCTCCTCATCCCATTCCACTATCTCTGCTCCTCATCCCATCCCACCATCTCTGCTCCTCATCCCATCCCACCATCTCTGCTCCTCATCCCATCCCACCATCTCTGCTCCTCATCCCATCCCACCATCTCTGCTCCTCATCTCAACCCACCATCTCTGCTCCTCATCCCATCCCACCATCTATGCTCCTCATCCCGTCCCACCATCTCTGCTCCTCATCCCATCCCACCATCTCTGCTCCTCATGCCATCCCACCATCTCTGCTCCTCATCCCATCCCACCATCTCTGCTCCTCATCCCATCCCACCATCTCTGCTCCTCATCCCATCCCACCATCTCTGCTCCTCATCCCATCCCACCATCTCTGCTCCTCATCCCATCCCACCGTCTCTCCTCGTCATCGCATCCCACCATCTCTGCTCCTCATCCCATCCCACCATCTCTGCTCCTCATCCCATCCCACCATCTCTGCTCCTCATGCCATCCCACCATCTCTGCTCCTCATCCCATCCCACCGTCTCTGCTCCTCATCCCATCCCACCGTCTCACCTCATCATCCCATCCCACCATTTCTGCTCCTCATCCCATCCCACCATCTCTGCTCCTCATCCCATCCCACCATCTCTGCACCTCATCCCATCCCACCATCTCTGCTCCTCATCCCATCCCACCGTCTCTGCTCCTCATCCCATCCCACCATCTCTGCTCCTCATCCCATCCCACCATCTCTGCTCCTCATCCCATCCCACCATCTCTGCTCCTAATCCCATCCCACCATCTCTGCTCCTCATCCCATCCCACCGTCCCTGCTCCTCATTCCATCCCACCATCTCTGCTCCTCATCCGATCCCACCATCTCTGCTCCCCATCCCATCCCACCATCTCTGCTCCTCATCCCATCCCACCATCTCTGCTCCTCATCCCATCCCACCATCTCTGCTCCTCATCCGATCCCACCATCTCTGCTCCTCATCCAATCCCACCGTCTCTGCTCCTCATCCCATCCCACCATCTCTGCTCCTCATTCCATCTCACCATCTCTGCTCCTCATCCCATCCCACCATCTCTGCTCCTCATCCAATCCCACCATCTCTGCTCCTCATCCCATCCCACCATCTCTGCTCCTCATCCCATCCCACCATCTCTGCTCCTCATCCCATCCAACCATCTCTGCTCCTCATCCCATCCCACCGTCTCTCCTCATCATCCCATCCCACCATCTCTGCTCCTCATCCCATCCCACCAACTCTGCTCCTCATCCCATCCCACCATCTCTGCTCCTCATCCCATCCCACCATCTCTGCTCCTCATGCCATCCCACCATCTCTGCTCCTCATCCCATCCCACCGTCTCTGCTCCTCATCCCATCCCACCGTCTCTCCTCATCATCCCATCCCACCATCTCTGCTCCTCATCCCATCCCACCATCTCTGCTCCTCATCCCATCCCACCATCTCTGCTCCTCATCCCATCCCACCATCTCTGCTCCTCATCCCATCCCACCGTCTCTGCTCCTCATCCCATCCCACCATCTCTGCTCCTCATCCCATCCCACCATCTCTGCTCCTCATCCCATCCCACCGTCTCTCCTCGTCATCGCATCCCACCATCTCTGCTCCTCATCCCATCCCACCATCTCTGCTCCTCATCCCATCCCACCATCTCTGCTCCTCATGCCATCCCACCATCTCTGCTCCTCATCCCATCCCACCGTCTCTGCTCCTCATCCCATCCCACCGTCTCACCTCATCATCCCATCCCACCATTTCTGCTCCTCATCCCATCCCACCATCTCTGCTCCTCATCCCATCCCACCATCTCTGCACCTCATCCCATCCCACCATCTCTGCTCCTCATCCCATCCCACCGTCTCTGCTCCTCATCCCATCCCACCATCTCTGCTCCTCATCCCATCCCACCATCTCTGCTCCTAATCCCATCCCACCATCTCTGCTCCTCATCCCATCCCACCGTCCCTGCTCCTCATTCCATCCCACCATCTCTGCTCCTCATCCGATCCCACCATCTCTGCTCCCCATCCCATCCCACCATCTCTGCTCCTCATCCCATCCCACCATCTCTGCTCCTCATCCCATCCCACCATCTCTGCTCCTCATCCGATCCCACCATCTCTGCTCCTCATCCCATCCCACCGTCTCTGCTCCTCATCCCATCCCACCATCTCTGCTCCTCATTCCATCTCACCATCTCTGCTCCTCATCCCATCCCACCATCTCTGCTCCTCATCCAATCCCACCATCTCTGCTCCTCATCCCATCCCACCATCTCTGCTCCTCATCCCATCCCACCATCTCTGCTCCTCATCCCATCCAACCATCTCTGCTCCTCATCCCATCCCACCGTCTCTCCTCATCATCCCATCCCACCATCTCTGCTCCTCATCCCATCCCACCAACTCTGCTCCTCATCCCATCCCACCATCTCTGCTCCTCATCCCATCCCACCATCTCTGCTCCTCATGCCATCCCACCATCTCTGCTCCTCATCCCATCCCACCGTCTCTGCTCCTCATCCCATCCCACCGTCTCTCCTCATCATCCCATCCCACCATCTCTGCTCCTCATCCCATCCCACCATCTCTGCTCCTCATCCCATCCCACCATCTCTGCTCCTCATCCCATCCCACCATCTCTGCTCCTCATCCCATCCCACCGTCTCTGCTCCTCATCCCATCCCACCATCTCTGCTCCTCATCCCATCCCACCATCTCTGCTCCTCATCCCATCCCACCGTCTCTCCTCGTCATCGCATCCCACCATCTCTGCTCCTCATCCCATCCCACCATCTCTGCTCCTCATCCCATCCCACCATCTCTGCTCCTCATGCCATCCCACCATCTCTGCTCCTCATCCCATCCCACCGTCTCTGCTCCTCATCCCATCCCACCGTCTCACCTCATCATCCCATCCCACCATTTCTGCTCCTCATCCCATCCCACCATCTCTGCTCCTCATCCCATCCCACCATCTCTGCACCTCATCCCATCCCACCATCTCTGCTCCTCATCCCATCCCACCGTCTCTGCTCCTCATCCCATCCCACCATCTCTGCTCCTCATCCCATCCCACCATCTCTGCTCCTCATCCCATCCCACCATCTCTGCTCCTAATCCCATCCCACCATCTCTGCTCCTCATCCCATCCCACCGTCCCTGCTCCTCATTCCATCCCACCATCTCTGCTCCTCATCCGATCCCACCATCTCTGCTCCCCATCCCATCCCACCATCTCTGCTCCTCATCCCATCCCACCATCTCTGCTCCTCATCCCATCCCACCATCTCTGCTCCTCATCCGATCCCACCATCTCTGCTCCTCATCCCATCCCACCGTCTCTGCTCCTCATCCCATCCCACCATCTCTGCTCCTCATTCCATCTCACCATCTCTGCTCCTCATCCCATCCCACCATCTCTGCTCCTCATCCCATCCCACCATCTCTGCTCCTCGTCCCATCCCACCATCTCTGCTCCTCATCCCATCCCACCATCTCTGCTCCTCATCCCATCCAACCATCTCTGCTCCTCATCCCATCCCACCGTCTCTCCTCGTCATCCCATCCCACCATCTCTGCTCCTCATCCCATCCCACCAACTCTGCTCCTCATCCCATCCCACCATCTCTGCTCCTCATGCCATCCCACCATCTCTGCTCCTCATCCCATCCCACCGTCTCTGCTCCTCATCCCATCCCACCGTCTCTCCTCATCATCCCATCCCACCATCTCTGCTCCTCATCCCATCCCACCATCTCTGCTCCTCATCCCATCCCACCATCTCTGCTCCTCATCCCATCCCACCATCTCTGCTCCTCATCCCATCCCACCGTCTCTGCTCCTCATCCCATCCCACCATCTCTGCTCCTCATCCCATCCCACCATCTCTGCTCCTCATCCCATCCCACCATCTCTGCTCCTAATCCCATCCCACCATCTCTGCTCCTCATCCCATCCCACCGTCTCTGCTCCTCATCCCATCCCACCATCTCTGCTCCTCATCCGATCCCACCATCTCTGCTCCCCATCCAAACCCACCATCTCTGCTCCTCATCCCATCCCACCATCTCTGCTCCTCATCCCATCCCACCATCTCTGCTCCTCATCCGATCCCACCATCTCTGCTCCTCATCCCATCCCACCGTCTCTGCTCCTCATCCCATCCCACCATCTCTGCTCCTCATTCCATCTCACCATCTCTGCTCCTCATCCCATCCCACCATCTCTGCTCCTCATCCCATCCCACCATCTCTGCTCCTCATCCCATCCCACCATCTCTGCTCCTCATCCCATCCCACCATCTCTGCTCCTCATCCCATCCCACCATCTCTGCTCCTCATCCCATCCCACCATCTCTGCTCCTCATCCCATCCCACCATCTCTGCTCCTCATCCCATCCCACCATCTCTGCTCCTCATCCCATCCCACCATCTCTGCTCCTCATCCTATCCCACCATCTCTGCTCCTCATCCCATCCCACCATCTCTGCTCCTCATCCCACCCCACCATCTCTGCTCCTCATCCCATCCCACCATCTCTGCTCCTCATCCAATCCCACCATATCTGCTCCTCATCCCATCCCACCATCTCGGCTGATCATCCCATCCCACCATCTCTGCTCCTCTTCCCATCCCACCATCTCTGCTCCTCATCCCATCCCACCATCTCTGCTCCTAATCCCATCCCACCATCTCTTCTCCTCATCCCATCACACCATCTCTGCTCCTCATCCCATCCCACCATCTCTGCTCATCATCTCATCCCACCATCTCTGCTCCTCATGCCATCCCACCATCTCTGCTCCTCATCCCATCCCACCGTCTCTGCTCCTCATCCCATCCCACCGTCTCTCCTCATCATCCCATCCCACCATTTCTGCTCCTCATCCCATCCCACCATCTCTGCTCCTCATCCCATCCCACCATCTCTGCTCCTCATCCCATCCCACCATCTCTGCTCCTCATCCCATCCCACCATCTCTGCTCCTCATCCCATCCCACCATCTCTGCTCCTCATCCGATTCCACCATCTCTGCTCCTCATCCCATCCCACTATATCTGCTCCTCATCCCATCCCACCATCTCTGCTCATCATCCCATCCCACCATCTCTGCTCCTCATCCCATCCCACCATCTCTGCTCCTCATCCCATCCCACCATCTCTGCTCGTCATCCCATCCCACCATATGTGCTCCTCATCCCATCCCACCATCTCGGCTGATCATCCCATCCCACCATCTCTGCTCCTCTTCCCATCCCACCATCTCTGCTCCTCATCCCATCCCACCATCTCTGCTCCTAATCCCATCCCACCATCTCTTCTCCTCATCTTATCCCACCATCTCTGCTCCTTATCCCATCCCACCTTCTCTGCTCATTATCTCATCCCACCATCTCTGCTCCTCATCCCATCCCACCATCTCTGCTCCTCATCCCATCCGACCATCTCTGCTCCTCATCCCATCCCACCATCTCTGCTCCTCATCCCATCCCACCATATCTGCTCCTCATCCCATCCCACCATCTCTGCTCATCATCCCATCCCACCATCTCTGCTCCTCATCCAGTCCCACCATCTCCACTCCTCATCCCTTCCCACCATATCTGCTCCTCATCCCATCCCACCATCTCTGCTCATCATCCCATCCCACCATCTCTCCTCATCATCCCATCCCACCATCTCTGCTCCTCATCCCATCCCACCATCTCTGCTCATCATCTCATCCCACCATCTCTCCTCATCATCCCATCCCACCATCTCTGCTCCTCATCCCATCCCACCATCTCTGCTCCTCATCCCATCCGACCATCTCTCCTCCTCATCCCATCCCACCATCTCTGCTCCTCATCCTATCCCACCATCTCTGCTCCTCATCCCATCCCACCATCTCTTCTCCTCATCCCATCCCACCATCTCTGCTCCTCATCCCATCCCACCATCTCTGCTTCTCATCCCATCCCATCATCTCTCCTAATCATCCCAACCAGCCATCTCTACACCTCATCCCATCCCACCATCTCTACTCCTCATCACATCCCACCATCCCTGCTCCTCATCCCATCTTACCATCTCTGCTCTCCATCCCATCCCGCCACCTCTGCTCCTCAACCAATCCCAACATCTCTGCTCCCCATCCCATCCCACCATCTCTGCTCCTCATCCCATCCCACCATCTCTGCTCCTCAACCCAACCCACCACCTCTGCTCCTCATCCCATCCCACCATCTCTGCTCCTCATCCCATCCCACCATCTTTGGTGCAGCAGAACTGGGACGTGGCCACGGACTCGTGCGTTTCGCAGACGACCGAATAGGGGATGCGTTGATGAATTGTGAAGCTGTCGTGGGGTTGACGTGAAGGAATGTGCTACTGAAAGGGAACGGGCGAGAGGCGTGGCTGCAGTTTTCGCTTTGCTGGAGCACCTCGGTGGTGCTGCGGTACTTTGCAACACAATCCGCAAATGAATAAGGGCAGTAGTGCACACATTGGACCGAATAAGCGTCTGAACGTTTGGGAACAGTACCATAGTCAGGAAGGAAAGCCCGCTGTTGTTTATGATGGCAAATAAATAGTTGGTCCTTACATGTTTCCAGCAAGCTACAATCAGGTGATTCTCCTCCCTGGACCCCTGTACATTTACTCCCTTCCTACATCATGTAAGCCTGCTGGTACGACAACCACTGCTTCAGCAACTTAGAAATCTAACAACCGCCACCTCATCGGGCCCCTCACCCCCTAAACACCCAGGAGCAGCATCGACTTCACATAACCTTCAACACCAACCACTTCACGCCTGGTTTTATCATGATTGAATGCGCTTCATCTAGCACCATGTTCCCGCCATCACAACCTGAGCCTGCAGGCCGCGCTGCCTGAGCATGGCAGCGAGCGTGTTGAAGACGGTCTGGCCGATCTTCTTGATCACCGCGGTGACAAACGTGTTGAGCGACCGCACATCCTTCACCCCGCTCACCCCCACGCCCAGCGCCGAGTTGTAAAACTGAACGGCCGAGTCGGTGGGCGCAGCCTTGCACTTGATCCAGTCCAGCAGGTACGTCTTGACGCAGGAGGGGTTGCGGCGGTTGTTGGCCGCCATGAGCACGTAGTCCTGGAAGCTGCTGCTGGCGCCGGACGTGCCAGGGCCCCACACGGCCAGCACGCTGCTGCGCACGTCGCTGGACGCCTGCATGCTGTTCCACAGGGTCTGTGAGCTGCAGTCGTCCTTGATCCACCACGCGTACCACCTGCAGAGGTAGCAGACGAGGGGGACGGGGAGGGGTGAAGGGAACGGGAATGAGACGAGTGCGGAGATAACTGCAGTAACGGGAGCTAGACTACGGGCTAGGCACGTGTGCTCGTGTGATCTCTGCGCTCTCTGTTCCTTAGTTGTTTTCCTTGTGCACACACTACTTGCTAGTTCACGGGGAAAATTGGCAAGAGTTTCACTAGGAAAAGTTTTGAACAATGATACAATGAAGTTGGCATACCAAGACTACATCAGAGCAAGCATTCAGGTCGGCCAACTGCCAACGCAGCTTGGTCGACCGCGTTCCAGCACGACTTGGTCGACCGCGCTCCAGCAAGGCAAGGTCGACGGCGTGCCAACGTCGCAGGTTGACGGCGTGACAGCGTTGCTCACGCAGGACAGCAGTGCACCCGCTTCGCAGGTGTGCGCAGATGATTGGCGTGCAGAGTCTCGTCACCTGCACAGCGCACACACCACGTCAACCTCGAGCTGGCGACTGCCTCTGATCCGCCACGGCGACCTCGGGATACCACCACCGTGGTCGGGCTCGCCAACTTCGCCTGGGCGACTGTCGCACTTCTCTGCAGCACTTCGTCACCCAGGTAACCTGGTCGACCAGGCAACCACGTCGACCAGCAGCTCCCGTTCATGCCCGTCGACCTCCTACGTTGACGACCACCTCCACGTCGACCTCCTCCAGGTCGACGTCCCCTCTGGTCGACCTGCTCCTCGTCGACCAGCACAGTCGTCGGCCGACCACCCACGTCGGCCACCCGAGGTTGACGTCACCAAGTTGACGTCCTCCGCAGGCCGACTCCCAAGTCGACCTCCCTGAGGTCGGCGCCACCCTGAAGTCGGCGCCCGTGCAGTGGTCCCCGTGCAGGTCGACCTCCTCGTCGACCAGCTCACCCACTGCTGTAGGTCGGCTGCTCCTCTCACACCCGACCACGAAGTCGGCTCCGCCCAAGCGAGGACGGGGCCAATACCCAACTCCCGTTGACACTCCCCTGCCGCGTTCACGCTTGGGCACCCAGCCCACACGGCAGTACAGCTCGGAGACTAGCTCGTCGACGTGCACCTAATCACATAGCACGTCGTCCACCGCACCAGCCATGCAAAAGGGCATCACACCTACTGCTGCACGTCATCGACTTCGTTGCCATCGTCGGCCAAGCGCACCTGGCCGATGGCGACGGAGCACCGGTTGAAGGCCGGATAGTGCAGCGCCTTCGTCAGGAAGTCGGCCGGCTGCTCAGCGGTCGGGATGTACTTCAGCGAGAACTTCCCACGCTTCACCATGTGCTGCAGCCAGGCCTGTCGCCGTTCCATGTGCTTGAGGTTGCCCGTCAACCCCATGCCCTCGGCGACCGTGATGGTCGGCTTGTTGTCCACGCGCAGGACAGTCGGCTTCCCGGCGTCCAGTTGCCGGAATTCTGCGAGGAGGAAGCGAAGGCGGCGTCCCTCCTTGCCAGCTTCAGTGGTCGCCACGTACTCCGACTCGGTCGACGACGACGTCGCGCACTTGATGCGCTGGCTCGACCAGGAGACTGCAGCCCCTCCGTAGACGAACACGTAGCCGCTCATGCTCGTCATGTTCTGCTTGTCACCAGCGTCATCGGCGTCCACGTAGCCGACCAGCTCCAGCGACTCAGGTCCCCGCCGAACTCCAGGGCGGTGTCACGTGTGTTGGCGAGGTAGACGAGGCAGCGGTCGACCTCGCGCCAGTGCTGGTCGCTCCTCACCGTGAGGCCGCTCCCCAGCTTGCTGCAGGCGAAGGCAATGTCCGGCCTTGTCGTCGTCGCCGCAAACTGCAGCGAGCCGACCTTCTGCCGGTACTCCTCCTCCTGCCGCTCCTGCGCCTCCTCGTCATCGAAGGTGAGCTCGGCGTAGGCACCGACCGAGACCGGCGTCTTCGGGGTGCGCCCGGTCTGCTCCTTGTCGAGGAAGCGCCTACGCAGCTTGACAGCGTAGCCCTGCTGGTGCAGCCACAGCTTCCCCGCCGACCTGTCGCGCACGATCTCCAGCCCGAGGTACTTCTGCACCGGCGAGATCTCGCGCAGCTCGAAGGCGGCTTCCAGCAGCTCCTTCAGCTCCTTCAGCATCGCGGCGCTGCTGCTAGCGGCGAGCAGGTCGTCGACATAGACCAGCACCCAGCAGACTACATCACCCTCGCCGACCTTGAAGTAAAGAGCCTCGTCGACCTGGCTCTTTTTCCACCCGGCGCCGACCAGCACATCGTTGAGCGCCAAGTACCACAACAGCCGCGACTACTTCAGCCCGTACAGGCTCTTCAGCAGCTTACACACCCGGCCGGTTCCGTCGTTGAAATAGTCCGGCTGGGACATGTACAGCACCCAATCGAGCTTGCTCTGCAGGAAGGCGTTCTTCATGTCGAGCTGCATCAGGTTGAGGTTGAGGACGGCGACGATGCTGAGGAAAATCCTCAGCGTGACGTAGTTGCTCACCGGCGCGAACGTCTCGTCGTAGTCGGCGCCGTACATCTGTGTGAAGCCCTTCACGACCAGCCTCGCCTTCTCTCGCTCGACGGTGTCGTCGATGTGGTACTTCGTCGTCAACACCCACCGGTTCTTCATGACGTTCACCCCCGGCGGGCGTTCGACCAGCTCCCACGTGCCCATGTTGATGAGGCTCCGAATCTCCTCCTCCATGGCGGCCTTCACCGCCGGGCCCTTCCAGCACGCCAACGCCTCCCTCACCGTCATCGTCGAGATGTCCCAACGGTGCTCGGGGTCAGCTAGCATGTCGGGGTCGAGCTCCGGAAACTCCTCATCCTCCTCGGTGTCGTCGTACAGCAGGTCGTCGTCATCGTCCATGTCATACACCGTGGTGAAGGCAGCGGGGACGAAGAAGTCAGGCGGCCTCCGAAGTCGGCCTGAACGCCGTGGTCCCGGCTGGGCCTCCTTGGTATCCCCTCCATCGTCGCTGTCGTCGCTGCCCTCGGCGTCCTGCTGTTCCTCAGCCGGCATCCCAGCCGACTGCTCCACTGCGGTCGGCGTCCCAGCCGGCTTCTCCCCTGGGGTCGGCTCTCCTGCCGACGGTCCGGTCGCCGACTGCTCCGTGGTCGGCTTCACGACAGCCTGATCCCTTGTCGGCTGCTGCTCCTCGACCTGCTCCTCCCCTGTCGACTGCAACCCCACGTCGATTCGCCGCTCGTCACGTCGGCCACCGGCGATGCTCTTGGCCGGCGCCGAAGGCGGCGTCCCACTACTCCCCTCATTGCCGGAGGCCGACACCGAGGTCAGCCCACGCAGGTCGGCCACAAGGGGAGGGGCAGGGGTCAGAGGGAGAGGGGTAGAGGTGCGGACGTCCTCGACGTCCTCAGTAGCAGGCTCACCGACCTCGGCAAGCAGCGGCAGCGTCGCCGACGAGGTGTCAGAGGGCGGGGTGGACGTCGAGCGGCCGGACACCGGCCCATGCTCCGTCTTCCACTCGGCCAGTGACATCTCCTCGTAAAACACCACGTCCGACGTGGTGACGACGCGGTCCGTGGCGACGTCGAGGAGCTCCCAGCCCTTGCTCGCCGCCGACACACCAAGGTGCAGGCCCCACCTGGCCTTCGGTTTCAGCTTCCCACCACGCTGCTGCTCAGGGACAAGGAACTGCGCCATGCAGCCCCACACCCGCGCCAGCGACAAGTCGGGCTTCTTCCCAGTCAGCAGCTGGTACGGCGTCGTCCCCGGCGGCAGCGTCGACCGCTCGAGGCAGTTGCGGACCCAGACGGCCTGCCGCAGAGCGAGGTGCCACCAGTGGTGCTGCACACCCATGTGCAGCAGCATTGTCCGCACCGACTCCACCACCGTCCTCATCTCCCGCTCCGCCATGCCGTTCTGCTGCAAGGTGTATGGGCAGGTCAGGTCGTGAACGATCCCCTTGCCATTCACGAAGTCGGTGAACTGCTTCCCGAGGAACTCCCCTCCCCGGTCAGAGCGCAGCATCAACACCGACTTCTTTGTCTGCCGCTCAACCACCGCCAGCCACTGTACGAACGCTTGCAGTGCATCTGACTTCTTGGCGACTGGCTTCACCCACACGTAGCGGGTCTTGCGGTCCTTCAGCAGCAAGAAGTACAGGCTGCCATCCTTGGCAGTCA